CATTCAGACTATGACTTAAACAAAGTTATTACAGTTTTAGATTTATATTTCAAACATATGCAAAAAAGCAGCTAGACAACTTAATGTATTAAAACGCATAGGTAAACACCTGACTAAACTGGGCAAACTGACCATCTAATATTCTTTTTTATGAGTAATTTTAATTACTGTCCTGTTGTTTGGCACTTTTGTGGAGAAAATAACACAAGAAAAATTGAAAAAATCCAAGAAAGGGCTCTCAGATTTATTTATGATGACAGGAACAGTACTTATGAGGAATTATTACTGAAGTCAGGCTTACCAACTTTAAAAATTAGAAGATTAAGAACAATGGCCATAGAAGTTTTTAAAATTTTAAAGAATGAGAGTCCTGCATATTTATCTGATTTATTTACTTTTAAAGAAACCTCATATAATTTTAGGAAAACTAATACAGTACAGGTAACTAGGGTCAGAACTACAAAACATGGATTACACTCATTTAGATATGCAGGAGCCAAACTTTGGATTGACCTCCCTGAAACAATTAGAAATGCAACTACAATTACTCAGTTTCAAAGTTTAATTAACAATTGGAATGGAGATTCCTGCAAGTGTGGCTCCTGCAAATCTTAATCCTCAAATCTTAATCCTTAGATCTTAATTTTCAGTTTTGCTCAATTTCTTTTTAGTTCCGTTTTATTTATCTGTTTATTTATTTTTTATTTATTAATTTTTTTTTGGTTTTGTTTTCCTGTTCTAAGTTTATTTTTTTTTGTTTGTTTTAAAGTGAGTAAATCTAGTAAAAATTTAGTAAAAATATACTTTTAACTTAACAGATTTGTTCTATTTTTATCAAAATTTTTATCAAATACATAAATCATAGACTATTCTTTTAGAGCATAAGTGCTATTTGGACAGTCATTTATATTTATTTTCTGTGTTTGTCTTATTCATATGCATGATATATGTGCTTTCTGTGTCGTTGTTTGTGTGTATGTGTAAATATGATTGTTGTGATGCATGACAGTGTAATCCTAACTGTTTTATATGTGTATAAAGTCATTTATAATATGTAGTACTAATATAATGTCGGTCAAAAGCTCTACAGAGCTTATGTTTCTGTTGTAATCATCCGACTCAAAATAAAATTTTCTGATTCTTATTCTGATTGGTATAAATGGAAATATTAATGTTAAGTTTTAGTATAATGGTGCTAAAATACATTAAAATAATATTGATATATACACATATTATTCAATGTTGTAAAATTATATAGTGGAATATACTATATGTAAATATCAAAATAAGGAGAATTGTTGGTGAATTTTAAATTGATGTCAAAATGTGTTGGTCACTCCCATATAAAGGTCATGGTCAGTTTAAAATGACTATGGCCGTTTTCTGATACCTCAAATATAGCTTGGACTCTTAAGATAGGGCCTAAGTGGTCCTAGTTCTTTCATTATGCAGAACTTCAATTATCTGTGATTGTTTATTGGCACGGACACGTGTATTAAAGAACGTCAACCCAGACACATTCCATAGAGTTACAAATCTTATACTTGATTAATTCAAACGTTCTACAGAAACGCCGACCCATCCTGGAATTGGTTTACAGCTATTACCATTGTACTTTTTATGTATAATTTGGATTTCTTTGTCAAAATCTGGGATAAATATGTAGTGTGGACTTCCTACAATTAATATAGATACAATGTCTTCGTTAAATATATATCCAATTTAAAGCAAATAGATTGTCATAATATATTCCCGTGTTTGTGACATATTTGGCAATGATTTCTTAAGCAAGCAAATAAAGTGAAACAGAAGTAAAAGTCAAGTGAGTGTAAATTCCACCACAACTTCTGTCTAAACAATGCATAGAAACATTCTGACTTTATTTCTGACAAACGAAAAATGACCGATGCTGCCATAATAAATGTTATATTTTAGGATCTGTTTGAAAACTTTTGTACAGAACTATAGCAAGTTTTGTTCAGATCTGCGTGAGAACTTTTGTAGAGAGCTGTAAGTTTCTGTTGATCAGATGTAGTTGCTCTAGACACAATAAACTCATTCTGCATTTGGAATTTTTGTTGATTCTCTTTTTGGTGGAGAGGGATTAAATGGGTTCTTTGAAAGTTTTTTTTAAATGCTGCATTGTATGATTGAAGTCTGCTTGTTCAATGAGTTCTAAGGTATACTTAGTCTAGTGCATAGATGTATCAGATTTAGCTGTCCCCATGTCCAAAGTTTATGGCAGGGAACCCTAAGGCATAACTAATAGGCTTCTACTATTTCTAAAAGTATAAGTAGATTCAGGAGTTCACTAGTGGAATGGTATGACTAGATTACCCTGCTGATTTTGATAGTTCTTCAACATCCTTGTTGGAGATCCTTACAGGCCATCGGATGTTGAAGATGCCCACCAGACAGGTGTTGTAAAATATCTGGTTCTGCTTTGGTCAACCTTCACGTCTCTGCATCACACATGGACTCTACATATGAGTTGAGGATACGCAGTTTGGAAGTAATGCTGATGTTCTTTTAATCTTAATTTTCGGACTGTCGCCGGTCAAATTAATTTTCTTGCTAAGCGTGATTTTTTAATTCACATCCTTACAGGGCACAAAACTTATCTGACGTCGTTCACTCACAGGGTTTTAAAACCTTTGATATTGTAGTTCCGTTCCGTTTCGCAAAGTACTTATATTGTAGTGCATAATGGTATTTTGCGAAACGGAACGGAACCTGTTGTGTGTGTTTCTTTTTTATCAGCGCAGAACTGAATATTTTAAGATAACAATCAAGGTTCAGGTAGTAAACATATTTATTAGCATACATCAAATTGCAATTCACGCGTTTTAAGATCTACCTTTACATAATAATGTTAAACTTATTTCGCATATCGATCAAAGGTACTTGAACAGAGATTTGAAGTTATTATTTTCAACATTTCACACAAAAACTAATTAAAAATCTTATTTAAAATAAAAGATATTTAAATTTCAAATTTTTTGGCGGGTTTGATTGACACATCCTTGCATTTTCACAAATTAATTTTATTCTTAATCCTTAGGAAAAGTGGCAGTCTCGTTGTGTATAAATGAAAAATATTAATACTATAATCAGAAAATTCAGAGTAGACATTTTCGAAAGCAAAACAAACACATAATATATCTTCAGTCCGTGCAATTTTGGTAAGCTGACTGGATTGAACGCACCCTGTGAATTGCAAAACATAAACAATAACATAACTTGTGCCCTGTTTACAAAAACTGTGTACATAACACGAGTGTGCTCGATTTGCTAAACTCTGTAGGCAACTCTTAGTTCGGAATGACGATTACTTGTGAAGGAGTTTTGCTTTCTAACATTTCAACTCTGAATAAAATTATTTTTCTGGATAAAAGTTTAAATATTTCTCATTAATACACAACAAAATTGCCACTTTTACTTAGGATTAAGCATAAGACTAAAATTTGTGAAAGTGCAAGGATGCGTCAATCAAACCCACCAAAAAATTTAAAGTTTTTATTACTTTTTTCACAGGGTGAATAAATTATTATTATTATAAATACTATATAATTTATTCATTAATAATTTGTGACCTAATATATTAATCATTTCATTACCATCATCATCATTTTCATCTATTATACAGCATGGTGAATTACAGTACTCTGGAATTTACTATGTGTTCAGTCATTCATAAAGTCGTTCATTGATATTCATGGGGTTGAATGCTCATTGGTTATTTTGAGAGTGTGAAAGGTCAAAGGTGTCTGTGTCAAAATGGGTGAGGTTTGAAGGTGTATGATTGGTTGATATTTCAGTGTGAGAAGTGTGTGAGTGGTTTTACTAGTTTGGTACCCAATACGCATGCTTGGCGCCAAACACCCTTAATAACTCACTCCACCCTAAGACAACCAGGAGAAAGGAAGAGTTTATCTCCTCTCCAGATTCATAGTCATTTCATTTAATAATGATGACAAATTAAACCTGTCTATTCGGTCACCTTCTATTACTTGTTATTCTTCTTATAATATTCATCAAAGTAACTGATATACAGATAAACAAATGAACCCACAGCAGCTGTTCTGTTATTTATATGAAGAAACAAGTATAGTGCGGCTGTGACATAAGATTTTTAATTAATTTTTGTGTGAAATGCTATTAAAATATATAAGTCGTAATATTATAGAGAAAATATTGACTTCAAATCTGTGTCCAAGTACCTTTAAGTTGAACATCAAGGCCTGCAACTGTATTTGTATATATAACTGATATAAAGATAAGACTTTTGAAGAAGTTTGAAAGGTAAAATAAATATATGTTTTATTGTGCTGGATATATGATGGATGAATTACTGTTCTCTTCAAACATCCTTGTCTCTTACATTTTATTTTTTCCCCTAAATTTAATTTTTAATGAATAAAAAGACGAGATGAAATGAATAACAACAAAATACTTTTATGTGTATCATCTTGTGTTTCGTTTTGTTTCTCTAAATACTAATATCCACACGGTAATTGGTATTTAGTGGAACGAAACGGAACCAGACAATGACCATACTGGCAAAGCGCGACAACTCTCTTTACCTTTAGACTGCACATATTTATAAAACGATATTCTTTTTATTAAAAGCTATTGACAGTATTTATTTCATGGTTCTCTACTTAAAATCAGACACTTGACACTTTTTGGTTGGTTCCCCTAGATATAAAATGGCAGAATAATTTGTGATTAAGTAACGTATTATATTAATTTTTATTATATATATATATTTTTTTTATATATAATATATTGATATTTATTCCATCCCCCCCCCCCCCGGCTGCGCTACAACTGGTTGGGTTCCGTTTCGTTCCGCAAAGTACCAGTAGTCAAAAATGTGATTACCTTTCGAATAGCGAAAACACGCCCTCTATTAACTGAGATAGAACTTAAGAATAGTCAGCATTCACAATAATTTTATTTTAAAATTTCAGGATTAACGAGATAAATGTACATAAACTCTAGATTTTTTGTCTAATCATCATCACAGTCTGTTTCAACGCTTCATTATACTTCCAGTATTCCCATACCGGGTATTTCCAACCGAACACTGCCGACTGGGCATACTCTCCGTTAAGATTTGACCTGAGACAGTTGCGGTACCACCAGGCTCCATGCCGCATTAAAGCACAGCTATTACTACTCTTGTTGTCATTGTCTTGGTCCTTAGTACTGAATCTCGCACCATTGTGATAAGCCAAACTGTCACCTGCAACAGAGTATATTGAAAGTATAGCCATCATTCTGATCTTTGGTGCCATATTCCAATTACAGATAAATTGCCACATGTCAAGGAGCATCCGGACAACATGAAAATATATTAATTTATAACGATTTTTCGTTACACAATAACATCCACTGTATTTGTCATTGACCTGAGCTTTAGAGGCGAAAACAACATTGTCTTCGTTTGTAAGGCTCATTATATAAAATGCATTTCAGAACGACTTGGATTTGGAGTTTTTGACTGACAGTATCTATTTTGGATACCAGGTCTTCCAACAATCTACTGGAATTCCCATGGGAACTAATGCACCCCGTTATTAGCAGACCCATTTTTAATTTATATGAAGCAGAATTTGTCCAAAATCTTGTTAAAAGAAAACACCTGCTGCGGCCTTCAACTCAACAGTCATTTAATTTTATCGACGTCGTTTGTGAAACAACAATGGTAACTTCCATTCTTATGTCGATACGATATATCCCGATGAACTTGATATAAAAGAAACCACAGAGTTTTACACATCTGTTTCATGTTAAGTCATTTTATTTGAAAAAAAAATGTTATGATAATCTAACAACCAAGCTTTATGATAAACATGATGACGTTAACTTTACAATCGTCAACTTCCCTTTGTTATGCAGCAAAATACCTCCATTACCTGCATAAGTTGTTTATATATCTCAGTCAAAAACACATTCTGTAAGTATGACGATTTTTTAAACGAGGTAAATTATTGACAAGGAAGTTGATGAAACAGGAATATCAGTAGTTTCTCTTAAAGTATTTCGTAAGTTCTATGTTCGATGCAATGACCTTGTCAGCAAATACAATTTATCATTGAGTCAAACGCTTACTGACGTTTTACTCATTTTTAGTCCATTATATATACACTGCATTGACGACAATGAGCACACGCGGGTGTGACAGATCAGCAGGGGATGCTCATTGCTCCATGGCACCTGATCCTACCTCTAATGTTTCGGAGGTCTGTGTTTGCTCTGCTCTTATTTTGTACTGTTATATGGACTTTTGATCTTTAGTGCAGTTTGTTATCTCCATATATTACACTTGAGAAATATGAAAGCCAAAGTCCCACCCATGCAGAAGTTATGAGCAAGGTAAAAGTTTTTGCGGACAAACATACAGGGAAACCTTCGGGAGTAAAAACTTTTTTTTTCGTTATAACTTGGAACTTTGCTGTTAAACCAAGATATTTGCTGAAGTCTTTTCATTTGATTTTATGATCAAGTTCATTACAACGATAAAAAAGGCTATTTTGAACTCTTGACCATTACAAGCCAATTTTAAGTTTTCTCGCCATTGTATGTGTCTTTCCTCTTTCTTCATCTTTTTAACGATACATTTCGTCTTTTTTTCAACGCTGTTAAAAACAATGAAAGATTAAGCAAATTTTTCCAAAGTGAAAATTTATGGTTATGATTTCGGAAATTTACGTCGTAAATTTTTAGCAATCTCTATACAAAAGGAAATAAAATTAAGATAAAGTTTTTTGAAAATTTACAGGATTTGGTAAATTAATTAACAATATCCAATAATAGATATTCTCTATAAAGCATCATATGACGCGTTATGCTATTGAAATAATAAATGTTTCTTAGCTTGTACGCCAGGTTTCTATAGTGTGTAATTTTATTTTAAAATGATGGATTGGTTAATTTACTAGTGATAAAATTGTTATGAATTTGAAAAGTTAAACACCTTGAAAAGTGACATGCAAATTTTCCTTTAAAAGTATCAGTCTAAAGAATTTCTTGAATTCAGAAAATGAGAAAAAGAAAATCTTTAGAATTGATTTTATTAAAAGGATTTTGAAATAAAATGCAAAATTCTGAAGACTAATCTGTCTTATTCTTTTCTTCTTTACATCTTCTGAGGAAATCTCGTTCATATAAATTGATAAGAGGTCCCCGTACGTCATGGTCCTTGTGTATCAGTCAAAATCAAAGGTTTCTAAAGTAATACATAGTGCTATAATTTTGCGATAGTGTGCGAAAGTTGCGCGTTATAATGCGAACAATTTCGCGAAAGTTAGACGTTTATTCGAAAAAGTTTCTCGTTATAACACATAAATATCAACCCACAAAAATGAGCTCAATGGGCTGTAGTAGTTTTTTTTCTGTTGGTAACCCCACAATCACACAGAGCTGCGACTATACGGCGATCACCCCGATCAAGCCACGATCTGAATTTCTTTTAGATCGGGGCAGATTGCAGCCGATCGGCGTCTAAATAAAGCAATATTCACAAATTATGGTCTTCGCGACGACCGTACTACGATGTCGCTACGTCAAACGCAATGCTAACACGCTTCTAGTACGATGTTATGCAGACCGTTGCAGACAAGCGGCCGTGTTTACTGCGTTTACGCTATGCTACCATTACGACATTAAAGACCATACGACGACGCTACGCAGACCTAGATCACTGTACGGCGATGTCGCTACGGTGGTGCCGATCATATTGTGATTGCATTACGCTTCTAGTACGATTTTGACGATGATGTAAATCTATATATCTTGCAACCGCATATTTTTGTACTACGATTTTAGAGATGATACATATCTTGCGACCGCATTTTTTTGCGGTCTTTACCACATGGTTTAAGGGTATTTTCAATTTTAACTGTAAGAAGATGTGGAAATTCTCAGTTGCAAATGATTGTCAAGTACATGTATAGTGTTACCCTTTTCATGTAGTTTACAGATGATGATTGGTCAAATATTAGCGCTATAAGAACAAACTCCTGTCGGATTGGTCGTGATATGATCGGCGTAAGGTCATTGAAGGTCTTCGTAGGATCTTCAGGAACTTAGAGAGATCGTAGTGAGAACGTAGAGGAAGCACTGTATGAGCGTACTTGGTAAGTTCCTACGCTCTTACGGCGCTTTTACTACGATCACGAAGATCTCTCTACGATGCTTCCGCGCTGCTTGTACGATTACGGCACTTCTACTACGCTCTTTTTACGACTTAACCCCCGATTCTTGTTGGCCACGATCCCGGTACGCTTGTTTTGAACATGTTCAAAATAAGCGTGGTGAGAGCGTAGAGCTCTCCGAACATGAAGACCCTACTGCGATCATACTACGTACGCTTATGACGATTCCACGACGTTTCTCCTGCGATTTTTCACGATCGGCCACGCTTTCTGCCACACTTCGATCGTAGTAGAAGCGGCGTCTATGTGTGAACGGGGGTAAGGCTGATTGACTCTTTGACTTTTACGAGTAGCGCTGACTTTTACAGTTTACATCTTACTTTTACACCAGAACGAACATACGGAAGCTCTTTTACGATATAAATATTTAGCTCAACATTTAATTCAACCAAATAACAGGTTATTTCAAAGCGTAAATCGGTTGTCCTTAAAGTAAACGACAACCACCCAACACTCAACTCCCGGTCTTCACATGTAAGTGCCCCTAACAAGATTAGGGGCACTAGCTATGACCACTAGAAAGGTGTTATTACATATTATAAATTCAAAGGTTTAAATGTCAAGTAAATCGTCAACTGTGAAAGTTCAGTGCTTCTCGTGAAAGTCCAATAGCCGTATGAATTCGCCTAACAAGAGCAATTGATACCAAAACTAGTATTTATTGCACAAAAAATGGAAGTAGGTCATTATTCTAGCAAGTCATTTTTCTGCAATCCACAAGGAGAAACATGACCACAAGGAAACATTTTTTACAGGGAACTGGGTAATTTTTCTACATAGAAAATGGCGTATGGGGATAAATGTCTATGAAGAAATATAAACCTTGGCAATATTCTACAGGGGTCACCTTTTGTCGTCACACCAGCGACAGTGTCAATTGTTTGTAATCATCATACATTTCATTTAATTACTCACACTATGTACAGTCAGATACCTGCACAATATGTACAGTCAGATACCTGCACAATACGTACAGTCAGATACCTACACAATATGTTCATTAAAGCACCTGTACATTATGAACCGTCAAATACCTGTACAAATCGTACAGCCTCATGTCTGTACAATATGTATATTCAACATATTCAATCTCCTGTACAATATGTACCGCCTCATGTCTGTACAAAATGTACATTCAAATACCTGTACAATACATTGATCCCACTACCTCTGGGCGGATCCCACTACTCACCTGCTGTTCCACTGTATCCAGACACCGTCAGTGTATATTTACTGTCTTCATCTCCGATGTAAAATGTGGTATACACAGCGTAGGCCTGTTCTCCGTTATAACTCTGGAGATCAACTCGGAGTTCTTGGTTTTTATTCTTTGTTAAGATGTGGATTGCATCATTCCCTAATATATATATATATATATATATATATATATATATATATATATATATATATATATATATATATATATATATATATATATATATATATATATATATATATATATATATATATATATATATATATATATATATATATATATATATATATATATATATATATATATATATATATATATATATATATATATATATATATATATATATATATATATATATATATATATATATATATATATATATATATATATATATATATATATATATATATATATATATATATATATATATATATATATATATATATATATATATATATATATATATATATATATATAAAATGACAATAAACACGAACAATTGAATGCATTTAATTTTCAAGAATTCGTATTTTTTTCAAGATAGAATTTTGTTGGATGACTGTTTTTCATCAATATTTTCCACATTTTTTGTCGAAAATATTTAACCTGTCAGGTGAACTAGACATGCACATATGCATTCTGCTTTAATAAATATAACTTAAATTGATCAAGTTAAATACCTATCGATATGAATTAAACCATATGATAATACCTATCCAATAATCGTTAGTGGCATTCCCAAATCCATGTCTATACTCTATCCATGTCCTGTAAAAATCCACGTCACCATCGTGTCGTTTCTGAATCACCTATTAACAATGATTAATATTTAACTGTATTGCCTCTTTCGAAAAAAAAGCCCACCACTTTGTTATATGTAAATTTCCGAACAAGAAGATATGCCATTATGTAGTAATTATTTATACAAATACGCTATAGGACAAAACCAAGTAATATAGAATTGTTTGCACATATATGATTGTCATTGTGAAAAATGGCTAAACAATGATTGATTTTATTTTAATAAAGAAGAATAATGACCACCATTTTTCATTCCTCTTAATTATCAGTTAAATTTAAAGTTTAAATATATGCCAGTCCAATATTTTTAGTATTTTATTAAAGCACTTTATAAGAAAACGTAGTAGTGTAGAATTGTTTGAACATCCATTATACTCGTTGTGTAAATGGTTTAGGAACCAACTCAAACACGAGAAATTGTGGGCAGTTATTTTGTTCTCTGCCAGATGAGTGCATTTTATTGTTATGTTTAGCCTCAATGTTTGTTGTAAAACTTAGAAATAATGGTTGTGTTTCGAATACTAATTACTGACTTGAGAACTCTCCTGCGGAAACAGTTTCTAGTTATGCTGAGCGAAAGGCATAATGTCATCATGATTTTGTTAAATTTAATTTGTTTTATAATTAGCTCTGTAATATGAAACTCTCTTGGATGGTTCATAGTTGAAGTTGAAATACGAGCGTCGTTCGATAAATAATCCAAGATATCATCTAAAATTAGTAAGTATGCAAAACATACCCTCAATAATTTTAATCTTTCAAGGCATTCACTGTAACCCTTTACACTTGTCTTAAGTATTTCTATTCATGAACAGAAAACCTCAGTATACTCATCTTTAGGGAAGCCCAAAAAGACACTGACAAATATAATATCCCATGACATATCTGAAGGCCGGTATACACGGTAAGATTTGTATTATAAGATTTGTATTATAATACAAAATCTTACTGTGTATACACTCCTAATACAATGTATCATAAGATTTTTCGAATCTTATAAGACTGTATTAAGAATAGAGCAATGCTCTGTTTCCTAATACAAGTCTTAACTCACCTTTCACTTTCAACCAATCAAATGTACTTACATTGGGGGTCATCCTATTTATATCATTACTAAATAAAGCACATGGTAAATAATAAAGGCCGACTTTTCGAGTAACGATATCGAAAAACTCGTGGTTTTATGGGAAGGGGAGGAGGACTTGTGGAATATATCAAGCTGTAGCTACCACAAAAAAGATGCTAGAAGCAGAGCTTATTATTATCGTTTTTATTATTTTGACAGAGAGAGAAATATGGCAGGAGAAAACACGTGGAAATAATAGTTTATTTACAATCTTATAAGATATGTAATAGCGTGTGTACAAGAAAGTATTATAATACAAAAGTATTATAATACTTGTATTATACTACAAATCTCATCGTGTATACCTGCCTTGATTTGAAGAAATTTTGACTCTCCCTTTTTCCTTTAGATTTATTAGAACCGCTTGTAAACTACAAAGCGTTTACGCTTAAATTTTCCACAAATAAAAATCATATCTTTAAGAGTCAAAATCAGCAAGCATCGAGCATTGAATGGAAAGTCAAAATTTTATTTTTTCAAAAGCTTTTGGTATATGAAAGATTTTGTCCTACCTAATGCTAAAACACAATTAAAAATTTTTTCGAATGTATGAAGGGACTGGTATCCAAGGAAATTCATTTCCTTAGCAACCTTAGAAGGGGGTAATTTGAATACATGTACAGTGTCCATTATATTGGTCATATTGGTTCTGATCAAAGCATACTCATAATATTACTATTGTTGATAAAGAAATGCACATTTAATTTCAAAAGGAATTTTATATTCCTCATAAACGAAACTTGGAAAGGGGGGGGGGGGGTAGGAATCACCTTGTTCACCCATCCATATGTATGTAAAACTTTGCCTTTTCCATAACATTTCAATGAAGTTCTACTGAAAGTTCATACTTGATATTAAGATTGCTTGTGATCTAGAGATGTGTCCAAAACTTTACCCAAGGTGATTTGAACAAGTTCAAGGTCATTGGTAGAAGAAAAGTGCAATCTTTGTCCATTCTGTAACATTCTAATGAAAAGACTTAAGTTTTATCTCGGATATTATTTTTGAGCTGTAGGTTTGTCATGACCTTGACCAAAGTTTATTTGGACATGTTTGACCTTGACTCAGGGACATAGCTTTTTCAAGGTCATTGCAGTAAAAGTGTACTATATGAATTTGGCACATTTACATATTTAACTTTGAATGAAGAGAAATTGGAAGTTTGTGCTCAACACCACAGTTTTACTACCTATGACTGGAGTATACATGTATGTCGTAGTCATTTTTGGTATGTATATCTGCTATAGCAAAATTTTAAAAAGGTATTAAATTATAATTTGGACCTTTTTTGAAATAAAAAACATTTAATGCAATAGCATTATTTTATGAGTTTGCTCACAATAATTATAGTTTATGAAAAGGAGTCACTATGACATCTCACATAATTTTAAAGTAAAACCATATCAATCAGGCATGTAGCATCAGGTTTGGGTTGGGTAGGGGGGATGACATCCCCAACCAATTTTTTTCTCAACATAACATGATGTTAAACCCCCCCCCCCCTGCCCGCGAGTTTGGAGAATTTCCCCACTTTTTTCTTGCATTTTGTTAATGCCTACCCCACACCATGCACTTTCAAAAATGATACCATGTTTGTCAAGAACGAATGACTGCAACCTATGGTATTGAACCGATGATATATTCTCCTGCTGTCCTAATTAAGAAACAATACTGCAAGACAGCTAAGACCTCAGTAGCTACTGGTGCCTAAAAAAAATCTTGAAGGGTTATATATACATGTATATATGAATGTCTAAACTTGAACTGACCCTAAAAGATATTCATTAATAACCCTAATGGGTAATCCTTTGATTGGCATATATCAAAATTTTTGTTGTACATATGTACTTATGTTTAAAAACATTTTGAAAACAATGTAGAAATCAGAAGAGAATGACAAATATGAATATTTTACATATATATAATACCTAGAGATACAAAACATAAATTTGAGGAACGTGTCGTCTGACTTTAAACTAGTTCATCATCATCATCATCATATATAAATTAGCCCTCTTTCTTTTTTCTCACAAAAATATTTTGTCAGTTTTAAAATTAATTGATTGATCATTTAATATTGACCTTGTTTTAATTATGATACTACAAAATGCAGAATATAAAGATATGTTTCAGATTCTTTGACTATCTAATAATTATGAATCTGCATGCTAAAAATTGATAGTTAAAAGATTTATATGAATAAAAAAATGCTAACAGACAAACAAACAATATTACTTTTGAAATGAACATTTTTATTTGATCCACTTTCATAAATACACTGTACAATTTATGGGTCTATTTTCTGGATCCCTGGGTCTCCGGTAACACTATCCACTCACTTTCAGCATCAATGGTCTGTACAGGAATAATGTATTCTCATAATCTGAAAAAAGTGATAAAATTAAAATGTAATAATATTATACAGCTTTGCCGTCATATAGTATTCTTAGAACCATTTCTAGTTGAGCTTGAGGAATGATGATGAATGCAAAGCATGTTTATTGGAATAAATTAAATTCCAAGAAATCTCAATGGTTTATCATTTTATTTTAAAAAGTTAACGTTTTTACTAAATGTATTATTTACATGTTTTTCCTGTCCATTTCTATATCAGCTCATCCAATTCTGTTTCTGCTTCTTTCCGAGTTTGGCTTCAAAGTGCCGAATTTCATTCTAAAAACAGAAGTATACAACACAAAGTTGAGACCGCATTGATTTTAGATATTCTTTAAATCCAAAAACTTGTAATAAAAAGGTCAGTTGGTTCTAGGTTTTGTCAAAACTCTCAATCATGTTTTTCATTTCTTTCCAATACCCCCCCCCCCCCCCCCCCCAAGAAAAAATGGAGTAGAAATATTCATTTAATAAATTTACGTGCTTTAAATCTAATGATGCTTATTATTTGAACCTAGTTGACGTAATTAGTTCAGTGGTACCAGAGAAAATGTTAGCTGAATATGAATTTTCTTTTATAAGTAAACACTGGATGACATCATCTAAAAAAAGTTTTTTTTTAATTAATTATTTTACTGTGGTATATATACAATTCAGTTACTAGTCCACTAGAGTGCATAATGCACTTGTCTGTATCACAATACTTCCAAGGTAATCCACTTTCCTAAACTAAAATATATTAAGTACAGAGTTAACCACCTGCCCCTTTTTCTTTTTCTTTTTTACAGACGCCATAACAAAGGTCATTCCATTTTACAAATATTTCATAAGTGTTGGTTTTCATAAATTCATAATTTTTCATGTAAAAAGCATGTATTATCTTAAATGGTAAATAAAGATATCTACTATATTACATGTATATACTGTACAAAATTTTTATTTACTTGACCATCAATCAAGTTATGATCATGATATTAAGCTGGTGAGTGACTTTGGCTACATACATACCGTGAATACAACAAATTAAACTTAAACTTAATTCAATTTAAACTTTATAATTTGGGATACAGTTATGTAACTGATCATGACGAACTTTTTCACGTTAGGCCCACAGAAACAATCTAAATTTGGGAATTTAATTTTATCACATTATAGTTTAATATCGGCAATATTATTGTGGGGCATACCCCCTCCTCCTGGTTCCGCAGGCCATGCATAATCTTTTCTTTTTAGTTATAAAATCACTCTCTACCATCCCGTTTTATACGTTATGTCAAAAATCTTGACTTGAGCCCATCGCAGAGGTGTCTGAGAGAGGAACGAACGACAACTCTGCATGGGGGATTGTTATAAAATAAGTAATGCTAATATATATAATCAATCAGAATAAATTTGAAATGTGCAATAACACTTGCCAAGTGTAATATAGTTTACTGCATGGTTAATTTATGCTATACATTCTTCAGTAACTGTTGTAATGGTAAGTAAAAATTTCAATCACTCACCGTAATTAAGACTCATGAAAACGCCAAAATTGAGGCTCACACTGCTCCAAGTTTGTAATTTTCTGCTAGTCTTCTGTACATTGTTATTGAAAACAATGTAAGCAAACTACCGTTTATTCCTCCTATGTTAAAGAGCTAAACCAAAGGGAGGTAATTGGAAGCAAAAGTGACAGAAAATTATGGATTTAAATCATTTGTCATATATAAATGCTTTAGTTGCCTGCAGATTTTTTTCTTGATTCTTCTAGAACAAATACTGTTTAATAAATATTTCATGTTGATAAGCTTTAATGTGGTTGTAGATTTCTTATAGAGTACTTCAAATTTGCTGTTTTATAAATCAAAACAAACCTCCAAAAACTAGTTTTATTCATCAAAAGGTGAAGAGAATTTCAATAATCAACAGTTGTTAAAATAGAGTATATTTATATAAATAGAATAATAATTTAAGAAGCCCTTTTTAATGACTAGTAATAAAAAAGTATTTGTTTAACCATAAATTCAAGTATCATGATAAGTACAAAACACGCTATTTGAAAGGCGCGTGGTTTCCATAACAACAATGCGAAAAATTATTTTTTGCTTGCCTTTTTCTATCATACCCTTTGTTCTGAAAATTTATATATGAGTTGTAACCAAATCTGTTTCTAGGCCACTTTCCACATTTTTTAATTAAATGCTCGATGCTTGCTGATTTTGACTCTTAATTAGGTTCTTCGGCGATTCAATATGTAGAAAAGTACAGATTTAAGATATGCTCTTATTTTTCATCTTCTTGGCAGAGATTGTTTTTTAACAGTTTACAGTTCATGTTTACTTTAGGGTTTCGTCAAAGGTCAAATTAGTCATTCAAAGGTCAGTGTCAACTGTCGTCGTATCACAATAAACCTCTCTCCAGGTGTTATTGATGTATATAACTAACAATAAAACACTTCTCACTGTCCACCCCCTCCATCTGTCGTCATGTCACAGTATACCTCTCTCCAGGTGTTGTCGATGTATAACATTGACAATAAACACACTACTCACCGTCCACCCTCCTCCATCTGTCGTCATGTCACAGTAGACCTCTCTCCGAGTGTCAGCATAAATAACATACACTCCATCTTGTCCTTTCTTGCTTGGATCTCTTTGCATAATGTCGGAACAGTCTTTATATATTTTTTCTATTCAATGTAAAATAAAAAAATCAAATCTAAGTGATAACACGTTCTACAACTCATCATTTATTGAAGATTTATAGATTCAATGAATGTTGTTTGATTTTTAATCGAATACTTTGGAATCCCAAATTTTCGTGGGGCGGGGGGTATTTTTCGTTGTTTTCGATGTATGAAGAGACCCACGAATTCATGTGCACAACGAAATGTAAAATGTGACATACGTTACTATTCAACAAATCTACATCCACGAAATCAAATCCACTCCGACCAAGATTTTTTTCTCAAACCATAAAAATTTGACCCCACGAAAATATGTGATTTTTCAGTACTCTTCAAACTTGAATAATTTATTCGCGGACCTCTCACATCATCTTTTAGTATCTAAAGCTAGTTAGTTACAATCGGGATAATGAAATATCTAGTCAAAAGTTGTAATAATAAACTGTAAAATTAGGAATGAATAAAAAGTCGTTCATGGTAAAGAAATCTTTCAAATAGAGACACAAAGCGGGTTCCAGTAAATATTCCACCAAGCCCCTTTCTTTACTTCTCACTAAGATATTAACAGAAGTGAGGGAGAAATTTCAAGAGTACTGTGGAAAAACATATTCAAGAATTGGTGTAAATCAGTGTAGATACTAAAATAAACCAAATACCTTTTGGACGATTTCAAATCACAAGATTGTATTAAAATCAACAACTAATTAGAAACGTACAACTTTTCAACTTCATACACAACAACATATGAAGCAGGATTTGCCCCAAATCCATTCTAATATCGATACAATACATTCCAATAACAACCAAGCTTAATGATAAATGTGAACTTTTAATTGTCAAATTCCCTTACTAAGATACCTACATCACCTGCATACGGTTTTTATATCTTTCAGTATATTCGACAAGGAAGAACATGCTATACGTATGAATATGTCTTAAACGAGGTAAATTGTTGACAAACAAGTTGATAAAGCACGAATATCACCAGTCTATTTTAAAATCATCATTTCGTAAGTTCTTTGGTCGATACTACGACCTTTTCAGCAAATACGTATCATTTAGTAAAATGCTGATTGACTTTTCATATGCTGATTGTTAGCCATAAATAATTGTAATTTTCACTCCTATACGATATATCCCGGTGAGCTTCTGATAAAAGACACAACAGAGTCTGACACATCTGTCTCATATTAAGATATTTAACTTTAAAAAGACGGTAATGGTAATCTTACAACCAAGCTCTATGATAAACGGGATGACTTTAACTTTTCTATCTTAATTTTTTAATTATGTAGTTATATGTATCTCAGTTGATTCGATACGCAAGAGATTGTTCCACGTATGAACAATTTCTAAAACAAGGTAAATTATTGACAGACAAGTTGATGAAACAGGAATATCAACCGTCTCGTTTAAAGTCATCATTTCATAAGTTTAAGTGTCGATACAATGACCTTTTTAGCAAATACAATTTATCACTGAGTCAAATACTGACTGATTTTTTTCATACTAATTGTTAGTCCATTGTTTACACACTGAATTGACGACGGATTTTCCGTTATTTCCAGATCATGACAAGGAGCATACGGCGAGTGAGACCGGTCGGCTAGGAATGCTCACTCTTGCATGGCACCTGTTCCCACCTCAGATGTTTTGAAGGTCCGTGTTTGCTCTGATCCTATTTTGCATTGTTTTCTGGATTTTTGATCGTTATTTTCATATGTTTCATCACATCATAAAACCAAAGCAACTAAACAGTTATTCCTTAATTGAAGTCCATTCCTAGGATTCGTGGAGTCCATACGTTATCGAAAAATTCTAGAACGGGACAAAACAAAATTTATAACAACGTCATGAATAGAAATATCCATTTTCAGTAAATGACGTGTGTTTTTGAATTTTTGTAGTGTCCCCCAGATTTGTATATACCGTTGAAAAATCGTACATACCAATCTCAAATCAATACACTTAATATATTTCAATAATGTTTAGTTGTTTTAACAGATATTTTGTCTCTTACGTCGTTTTAAATGCTTTAAAAATACTTTTTTGAAAGGACGCTGCCTCGTTCGGACGGCCGGCGTCGCTTTTTCAGTCGAGTTTAGACACATATTTGTTAGGGTTTTTGTTTAGTATTTGCACTGTCTATATAGAAAGGGATACCTAAGATATCATAAAATGATTATAGCCTCTTTATTTGTGTAACATAATTTTTTTTATCAATATTTAACTTGTTTTATATATAGAAAATAACCATTTTAATCCGAATACTTTATATCAGAGTTTATGTCATTTTAACCTTGGTCCGTGCGCTCTATTTGCGATCTTTAAAGACCCTGATTATTACAAAAATATTACATTCCATCAATAAAAACTAAATAATTCTGACTTAAAAAGAAATAGTTTGATATACAACAAATTTATTTAGAACCATTTATTTTCACAAAAAGTCATTGTCCAAGAACATTTAGGACAACCCTCGTACTCAGACTATGACCTCCCCATAACGAATGATTTAGCATACATTAACGCAACATCTCATTCGAATTTACCAATCAGTGTATTATTAAATCATCTATCAATGGTTTCCCGTTTTATATATTATTCATTTAATGTAATAAATTAGTCCGATCAGATATAAAGCGTTTTATATATCATATAACACCTTGATATAACACACTCATCTAAAGAACAAACAACATATATCAACAAAAGATTACAATCTTAATCAAACATTATTAAACATTTTAATTTCTTTTTAACAAAAGAAAGTGTAATTCAAGCTTAATCAATTTAAAAGACATTTCATCAATAGATTTAATTTAAGACATATCTGACCTTCTAAAAGAGGAACACATTTTCCAGCAATACAGATTTCATCTTCAGTACAGAGGAAGTTCAAGCAATTGCCCATGAAGTGCTAAAGTCAAAGAATTGCGATTTTGTAAATAGTTTTACCTGTACATTCATTCTCTTAATTGTGTAAAGATCTATTTCTTACTGTTGTTTCTCTTTGGAGACGGAAAACTGGGCCTTGAGTCATTAGACTGCTGTCATTCCTCAGGTCAAATCTCGTGTTTAGCCGGCATGTCTTTTCTTCTTGTATCCAATCCACCGAGCGACACAACTCAAACTTTAAACAAACCACCATGCACGTTAAAATGTCAGCATTTGTTAAAAGATTAAAACCAGGAATTGATGAATTTTCATACTTGCTAATGAGCAAAGTCTTTGGGTCAAATAAATTAAGGCATTGGGAGTTGCATGTCTGTAACAGAACTAGAACTTGTACAAAACAGTAAAGAAAAATCATCCTTACACTATCACATATTTTAAACATTTCTATTTGTGTTGCTTTCTACCAGGGCATATCTTAAGACTTTTATTTTGAAACATATAAAGTAGTCGTTAAGGTCTGCTTATTACTGATTGATGAGGTCTCCCATGACAGTTTATATAGAAGCGTTGCTAAATAATAATAAAAAAAGACATACTCATTAAATTTCAAAAGCTTTCAGTGAATTGGATAAGAATTTCCAATTATGTTTGTTAAATATTTATGAAAAGTCGGAACATCAATATTTTTTAGCTTCATAATATCCAATTTTTTTACTTGCTTGTTTTCAGTTTGAATTCTCTCGAAAATTGATTCATTAAGATGAATGCTAAAAGTCTGATGTAAGCTGCTATTATTGACTGATGGTCTGGGGATTGTCACTACCATGTCCCTCTAGACGGTAGCGACCACAACACGATCTAATGAAGGACTTTAGACTGATTTTGTGATGCAAGATCTATTATGATGTCATAATTATTTTCAACTTTCTTTTTCACGTACTTAACAACTTAGGCAGAATCATTTAGACAAGAGGCCCATGGGCCTTATAGGTCACCTGAGCATTATGCAACAACTTTCCAGCGATTCAATTTGATTAATGTTTTAAGCAAGATGCTATGACATTCACAATTTTGAAAGAGGCACCATTTGATCATCATAACGATACACTTAGCAGCTGCTTAGTTTGTTTACTTAATACCGATAGGCAGGCTGTGGGAACAAAAAATATTTCAAGTAATCAGTAATATTAAGCAAATATCAGTAATGCCCCTATCACACATGAACACCCTGACCGTTAGGCCTAGATCCACACATTGCACAATTTTTGAAAAGGCACCCTTTCTTTTCAAAAATATTCGACTAATACCACGGAGCAGATCTCGAACAATTCATCCAGTTTCAGTCAATACGTACACCCCCCCCCCCTATGGTACCCCTGACCCTAGGGCCTTGAAATTCACAATTCTGGAAAATTAGGGTCCTTGCTCATCAGAACTACATAGGTAGTTCATCTGCTTAATACCCAAGAGCAGAGAAGAAAATTTTCAAAAATTTAATGTATTTTAACTATATAATCAATAGAGCCCCACCCTATCACTAGAATCCTTGACCCTAGGGCCATAAAATCAAAATTTTGGAAGAGGTTTTCTTGTTCAGCATAACTATGCACTTAGTTCAATTCCTAGGAGCAAAAAAGAATTATTTTCAAAGAATTCTTGAATTTTCACTATATAATCTTTAGAGCCCCACCCTAACACTCGAACCCCTGACCCTTGGGCCATTAATTTCACATTTTTGGTAAAGGCACTCTTGCACATCATATCTATGCACTTAGTTAGTTTTTTTAACACTCAGTAGCAGAGAAGAAGATTTTCAAAGAAATAATGCATTTTCATGTTTTCACTATATACTTATTTAGCCCCACCCTAACAGTAGAACCCCTGACCCTGGGGCCATAAAATTCATAATTTTGGTAGAGACACTCTTGCTCATCATAACTATGCTCTTAGTTAGTTTATTTAATACCCAGGAGCAGAGAAGAAGATTTTCAAAGAAATAATGCATTTTCACTATATACTTACACTACTGGCTTTTAAACCCCTGTCCGTATGAAAATCCACTGTCTTTCTCTGTATCCTACAGCATTTTCACGGTAATCTACAGGATTTCTACAGTATCCTACTGTATGCTAGCTCTGTATATACAGTAAATCTCTGTATGCCACTGTATGTATCCCCTGCATGCCACAGTTACATACAGTAGGCCCCGATACGCCTACAGTTTGCCACTGTATGGCTACTGTTTCCTACAGACAACTACGGTAAAACACAGTATATACCACAGTACGCCCCTGTATATGTTCATTGAAGCAAAAAGAAGAAGTTTGCACACTCTCAAAGCACTGTACGGTTACCTAAGATGTGGGATTGTCAATTTAGTACACAGAGTTACTTACCTAAGAAATTTTTGAACATTATTTTAAACACATGGTAGTATTTTATTTAAGTGTTAATAGACTAATTGTGTTTTTTTTTTAACTCTGAAATAACTATGAAATATTAATAAATTGTTGCTTCAAAGAATCTTTATATATCAATTTTTAAAAATTAATTATTTAATTATTCTTTGGTTTGATTTACTACTTAATTTATTTATTTTGCAAAAACCTATTTAATCCATAAATTACTTGGAGTGACTTCGAACTTTAAATAAAAACACGGCCGGGGTAATGCTGAATTTTGGAAAATTGTAGTTTTTGAAATTGATATAGTTTCCTTGAAAAAATAAATAAAATTAATTAAATGAAATTAATCATTTTAAAAACAAATCAATCTATTTCTTGACAAATACAGAGCTGCATAGTAAACACGGAACAAAATAAATAAGGTGAGGTGGAAAGTGAAAATTAAATAAAATAAATGACTTTAAAAATACAAAATTAATAAATGAACTAATTATTTATCTTGTTTATTTATCAGTTTATCTACAAACACATAGATAAACAAAATAAATAAAAATTAATTAATAACTGACAAGACATAGTGATTAAATATACACCCCGCCCCCCAATTGATTTTTTTACTTTTATTTTCATGTAAAAATCCTTTCTCCTAAAATATGCTACAAAGTATTTTTTAAGCATATAAAAACAAATTCCAATAATTTTACGATCATGATGGATATCAAAATAATCGTCAGATTATGCACAATATTAGTTAGTCAATTGCAATTTCATATTTTTACTTTGTTTTGATTTTTAAAAATCCGTATTCAAAACCCTAACACGGGTATGAAAGAACTTCAAAGCCATTGATTGTTTACAAGGCACATGGGGTACACAGTAATGACACCTATTGTCTTTTTCATTGACCACTATACCTTGTTTATTTAGTGACAGAGAGCGACCGTGTCCACTCTGCAGCTGTTTGAATAAACATTTTCTCTTTGTAAGAAAACCATTTTTGACAAACAAAAACAAAATAAAAGTATCAAAAAAGCTATTGGTGGATTAAGATTGTGCATTATGAGACGATTATTTTGATATGCAACACGGAAGTAAAATAATTAAAAGTAGTTTAAATTTTTTTCAAAAAGACTTTGAGAGACATTTTAATGGAAACTTGTTTACATCAAATAAAGCAAATAATTCCAACTTTCGGGATTATAATTAATTAATTTGCTTGTATCGTCAATTTAAGAAATAAATAGATAAATATATTGTTCTTTTTACAATGATTAAATACGTGCTGTAAATTTGTTTCATCTATTTATTCACTAACCATTTAAAATCAATTATTGAGTTGATTTTAAAAACTATTTATTTTAAATAAGCAGCATTATTCTTGTTGTAAAGATATGTGTGTGTAATTTTTTTTCCAACAGGTACAAAAAGCCATTCCAAGTATATTGAGGATTAAATCGGTGTTAGAGAAATAAATAAATGGTAAATAAATAAAATAAATAATTTATTCTAATTTTAAAATTGACTACACACAATTGTTAGAAAATAAATAAATAAAACTGATTTGAAGCACATATTTTTATCATTGTTAAAAGAACAATATATTTATCTATTTATTTTTTTAATTGACGATACAAGCAAATTAATTAATCATAATCCCGAAAGTTGGATTAATTTGGCTTATTTAATGTAAACAAGTTTCTGCTAAAATGTCTCTAAAAGTCTTTTTGAAGCATTTTAAACTACTTTTAATTATTTCACTTCCGTGTTGGATATCAAAATAATCGTCTCATAATGCACAATCTTAATCCGTCAAACGCTTTTCTGATACTTTTATTTTGTTTTGATTGAAAAAAAAACGGTTCTCTCACAAAGAGAAAATGTTATTTCAAACAGCCCTAGATAGGACACAGTAGCTCTGTCTAGAAAGTCTAGAAACTGTCAAAGAATTTAAATATCTTGGTATCATCTTTTCAAGATCTGGCTCCTTTTTAAAAGCCAAGAAGCATCTTTGTGACCAAGCCCAAAAAGCAATGTATGGTGTTATAAGAAAAATAAGACAATTTAACCTCCCTGTAGTATGTCAACTTGATTTATTTGATAAAATGGTTTTACCAGTGTTACTTTATGGTTGTGAAATCTGGGGTTTTGAAAACCTAGATATTATTGAACGTGTACAGTTAAAATTTTTGAAACATATTCTGTATTTAAAAAGTAGTACCCCGAATTATATGGTTTATGGTGAAACAGGACGTTTCCCACTATCTGTAATTATACATTCAAGAATAGTTTCATACTGGTCTAAGTTACTGAATAGCACAGATAAGAAAATTTCATGTATATTGTATCAATATTCAATTGCTAATTCACAATATGAAATTGGTAAAAACCCTTGGATTGACTGTGTTCATCGCATTTTTGATTCATGTGGACTATCTCATATTTGGAATGAACAGTTTTATTATCATATTAATCAAGACTGGGTTAATGCTGTTGTTAAACAAAGATTGCAAGATCAATTTATACAAAAATGGTATTCTGATATTAATAGTTCTTCTAAAGGTATTTTGTATAAGACTTTTAAAACAAATTTTGAGTATGAAAATTATCTAAG